TAGCACTATCTTCTAGTTTGAGTGCATGCCGACAAGTTCTTTGCATAGCTCGAACTTGTCCCTTGGTACCACCTTGGTCAACATATCTGCAGGATTTTCACTCGTGTGAATCTTTTTGACTTGAAGTGATTCGTTCTCCACTTGCTTACGAATCCAATGATATCTGATGTCAATGTGTTTTGTTCTCGCATGGTACATGGAGTTTTTGCTCAGGTCTATTGCACTCTGACTGTTGCAATAGACAACATACTCCATCCGTCGCAATCCAAGTTCTTGAAGAAATCTCTTGAGCCATATCATCTCTTTGCCAGCTTCAGTAGCCGCAATATACTCCACTTTAGTTGTAGATAGTGCGACACACTTCTGCAACTTTGACTGCCATGATATAGCTCCTCCTGAAAAAGTAAACAAATATCCAGTAGTGAATTTTCTATTATCAAGGTCACCTGCCATATTAGAATTTGTATAGCCCTTCAAAAGTGGATTTGATCCTCCAAAACATAAGCATTCACGTGAGCTTCCTCTTAGATACCTGAATATCCACTTTACAGCTTCACAATGCTCTTTTCCTGGATTTTCGAGAAATCTGCTAACAACACCGACTGCATGAGCAATATCTGGTCGAGTGCATACCATTGCATACATCAAACTTCCGACGGCAGAGGAATAAGGAATCTTGGCCATTCTCTCTTTTTCCTCCGTTGTTGTTGGACACATCTTCGTGCTCAAGGAATCTTGTAGCCTTGTTCCCCCATAATAGACTCAAACTTTTTGTACCACTATCTAGGAGCTTGCTTAAATCCATATAGACTCTTCTTAAGTTTGCATACAAGATTTTCTTTACCTTTTGCCTTGAATCCTTCAGGTTGTTCCACATAAATCTCCTCTTCTAAGTCATCGTAAAGAAAAGTAGTCTTCACATCCATCTGCTCAATCTCCAAATCAAGACTGACAGTCAAACCAAGAACTGTCCGAATGGAGGACATTTTCACGAGAGGAGAAAATATTTCGTCAAAGTCAATACCTTTCCTTTGACAACCAATCTAGCTTTGTATCTGGGCTTCAAACTATGTTCTTCAGCTTTAACTTTGAACACCCACTTGTTCTTCAAAGCTCTTATGCCCTTAGGTAATTTCACCAACTCATAAGTATGGTTCTCATGTAGAGATTTCATTTTATCTTGCATGGCTTCAATCCATTGATCTTTGTGCTCATCTTCTATGGCCTCCGCATAACATTCAGGTTCTCCCCCATCAGTGAGTAATACATACTCATTGGGTGAATAACGGGAGGAAGGAGTACGAGGTCTAGAAGACCTCCTGAATTAAATATCTAACTCGTCCACAACTTCGTGAGTATGAGCATCTACCTCATCAACATTAGCATTGTTATCACCATCACCATCAATATGTTGACCTGGAATATGGTTCTGGGCATCACTATCATCATTGAGCCCACCAACACTATCCGCATTTTGTATGAGGAACTTTATCAAGATTAACTAAACCTTCAGAACTTGGAGATTTTAGCTTCTCTGCTTTGTTAATATCTTCAATGGTTTGATCCTCCGCAAAGATAACATCACGGCTTCTCACGACCTTCTTCTCAATTGGATCATATAGCCTATAACCAAACTCATCAAGGCCATAACCAATGAAGATGCACTGCCTTGTCTTGGCAGTTAATTTTGACCTCTCATCTTTAGGCACATGTACAAAAGCTTTGCAACCAAACACTTTCAAGTGGTCATAAGAAACATCCTTGTCATACCAAACTTTGTTTGGAACATCACTTTGCAAAGCAACTGTAGGGGATAGATTAATAACATGTGCGGCGGTTAACAAAGCCTCACCCCAAAAGAAATTCGACAACTTTGCTTCAGAAAGCAAACATCTGACTATTTCCATCAAGGTCCTATTCATCCTTTCTGCTAAACTATTAAGCTGAGGAGTCTTAGGAGGAGTCTTCTGATGTCTGATACCCTATTGTTTGCAGTATTCATCAAACGGTTCACAATATTTACCACCGTTATCAGTATGGGTACACTTCAGCTTCTTTCCAGTTTCTCTTTCAATTGAAGCCTGAAACTGCTTAAAGAAACCCAACACTTGATCTTTAGTCTTCAAGATGTAGACCCAAAGTTTCCTTGAACAATCATCAATAAAGGTAGCAAAATAAAGTGCACCACCCAAAGTTCTTGTCTTCATTGGACCACATAAATTTGAATGCACTAACTCAAGCAACTCTGTCTTTCATGAAGGAGGAAAAGACTGGAAAGAAACTCTTTTTTGTTTTCCAGCCAAGCAGTGCTCACATTTTTCTAATTTTGCACTTTCAAAATTTGACAACAATTTCTTCTTGTCTAGAACATTTAGTCCTTTCTTGCTAATGTGGCTAAGCCTCTTATGCCATAACGTTAAAGAGCTATTGCTCTCAACGGCATTCACCATATCAACACAGGTAGAGGCCGTAGTCCAGTATAGACCACGACGCTTTTCCCCACGAGCCACAATCATGGAACCCTTAGTGAGCTTCCACTTTCTAGCACCATTGATACTGATATATCCCTCATCATCCAAAACACCAACAAAGATCAAGTGCAAACAAACATTAGGTGCATGTTTTACATTGTTTAAAACTAGTTTAGTTCCAATACTAGTTTCCAAACAAATCGTTCCAACACCAGCCAACCTAGATACAGTCTCATTACTCATACTCAAAGTTCCAAAGTCACCCTGAGTATAGGATGAGAGAAATTCCTTCCTTGAAGTCACATGAGATGCGGCACCACTGTCCACAACCCAGCTTGACTCATCACAAGCAATATTTATCAGATCCGCATCAAGGACTGTAACAAGATCTTCTGTACTGATGGTGGCCACACGATTGCCATCTTCTTTCTTTTCTTCCTTGTCTCTATTCTCCTTTTTCAAAATCCTACAGAACTTCTTTGTGTGCCCTTTCTTCCTGCAATGATAGCACTCAATATCTTTAAGTCTGCTTCTGGATTTGCTTATATTATGTTCTCTATTTTGAGAACCCCGATTCTTGCTTCTCCCCCTAGAGTCAGTCACCAAGACATCTAATGAGGAGGAACCCTGAGATTTTCTTCTCATCTCTTCATTTAGAAGGCTGCTTTTGGCAAGATCCATAGAGATCACACCATCCGGAGCAGAATTTGATAATGAAGTTATAAGAATTTCCCAAGAATCTGGTAGGGAACCAAGTAGAAACAAGCTTTGAATTTCTTCATCAAATTTAATGCCCATAGCAGATAACTGGTTCATGATTCCCTGAAAATTATTCAGATGATCTGTCATCGCGGAACCATCGTGGTATTTTAAACCCAACATCTGCTTTATCAGAAACATCTTGTTGTTTCCAGTTTTCCGAGCATACAGACTTTCAAGGTGCTCCCATAAGGTCCGAGCATGTGTCTCCTCAGAAATATGGTTCAAAATATTATCGTCAACCCATTGTCTAATAAAGCCGCAAACCTGCCTATGTAATAAATTTCACTCTTCATCTGATTTATTATCAGGCTTTATAGTGGTGAAGACAGGTTGATGAAAATTCTTGACATAGAGCAAATCTTCCATTTTGCCCTTCCAAATGACATAATTTGTGCCATTTAAAAGTAACCATTCTACTAGTGTTGACTTCCATCATTTATCACAACTACAAATACTATTTATTAGGAGACCAAAGTAATTCTTTTCTGATGTGGAAGTTCAGACTGTGCTGCAACTACAGAGCATACTCAGACAGAACCTTGACTTTGATACAACTTGTTGGGAATAAACCCCGTAAAAATAATATTCACGGTATTAGTGATAAACGCGGAACACTAAGTTATGGTTAAATCAGCAAAAATAGAAATGCAACAATAATGATACCAAGATTTTACGTGGAAACCTTTCTGAATAAGGGAAAAAACCACGGCCAAGAAGAGCAATTGATATCACTATAGCGAAGATTTTACACTGTGTAGTAACGAGTACGAATACTCCTAAGACCACTACACCCTCAAAAGAAAAAATACTCTTTTGCTTTTTCACCTTACTACAATATCTCTCACACTCTATTTTTCTTCACAAACTATTTTCTTATAGTTTATGGAATGTCTTGCTCTCTATCTTTCACTCTTTGTTGGTGTGTAGAAATGAGAGTTAAGGCTCTCCTTTTATAGCCAAAACCTCACTCTCTAAAGCCTACAATATTTGACAATTTACACACCCTTTTCACAATTTCAACAAGGTTGGCTACCAAACCAAACCAAGTCAATAAAATTGGCTACCAAATTATACTAATTCAACAAGAATAACTACCAAACCAAACCAAGTCAACAAAATTGTCTACCAAATTATTTGAATGAGATGGACACCATATCAAGCATTACTTGAAAACACTCTCCTATACAGATGTTATGCCAATTCATTACTAATGGATGAATATAAATAATTTGCTAATGCAAATCTCTTCATATAGTCTTTTCCTTGTTGGTTGTTGCGTGGGGAAAGGACTACTTGTACGAGTAAATGACAAATTTGCAAGACTCGTGTTGACTTTTTTTAACCAGTCCTTACGGCAGGATTCAGTATTGGCCCTAACTGTTTGCGTCTTATTAATATATGATGAAAAATGATAAGCAGTAACTCGAACTAGAGTTTGAATCATCTTGGAAATTAAACTCAAAACCACATACCCCATCAAAAAATGGTTCTGCTTCCTCACCAAATAGTAGCTTGCTTTTATGTCTGTGGACTAATAATACTGACATTAGCCACGGCCCAAACTACTACTATTAATACCACCAAATTAATGCCGACATACACCATCACTAAAGCTGCCAATATAACAAAACGAGGATGCCGTAAGCAGTGTGGGAACCTTACGGTTCCATACCCATTTGGTATTGGTTTAGGTTCCGGTTGCGCCTTTGATTCAGGGTTCGAGATCAACTGCGACATTTCTAGTGATGGTTCACAGAAACCTCTCATAGGAAACATTGAAGTGTACGACATCTCCGATGCTGAAGTGCGCATCATCAGTGCTGTCGCTCGGAGATGTTATACACCCACCGGAGCTATGGTCGAAAAAGGTTTCGGGTATACAAGATTACCACAATCAGGTCCGTATAGTTTCTCGGCGATGAACAGGTTTAGCGTCGTTGGTTGCGGCGACGCTGCTCTCATAACGGGACATAACTTTGAGTATGGCTGCAGAGCCAGCTGTAACAGTCGAGGGGATGTGAGGGAAGGAGAATGCATGGGCATAGGCTGCTGTCAAATACAGATACCTAAGGGCTTGAAATACTATAACATAAACATGTTTACCACAAGAAACCATAGCGATGTTTGGTATTTTAATCAATGTGGGTATGCATTTGTGGGCGAGGCAGATCGCTTCCGTTTCCGAGGCGTACAGGATCTAAGTGTTGCTAATTTTGGAACGAGGATTAGGGCCAGTTTGCCAATCGTGCTCGATTGGGCCATCGGAAGTGTTACATGCATTGATGCTAAGAAAAGAGATGATTATGCTTGCAGAAGGAATAGCAAGTGTGTTGATTCAGACACTGGTCTTGGTGGCTACCACTGCAGCTGTAATGAAGGTTATGANCCCTTCCCCCCACACACACACCCAAAAAAAAGAAAAATTGGAAAAAAAAATCCTTCTTAGAAAATGTTTTTCGCCGAAAATATGTTCTTGAAAAATGTTTTAGTGAAATTTTTAAATACTTGGAGATAATACGAAGTTAGAAGTCGAAATATCACTATATTATTAAGTGATATAGAGAGGTGTATAGGATTCCTCTACCTTAATAATATGGAGAGGCCTTTTGAGCCTTAAAAATGGAGACACTCATTGTTTCTTCATATAATGGGCCCTAAGAAGTGGGAAGATGTCCAACAGTTTTAATGTTGAGCAAAAGTAGTCACTAGTCAATTAAAATTAATATGAAAAGACAATATTACTCTTTTCTTCCCAAACGGAAATACTCCATTTTCAGATCCATTCCTTACCGCTCCACTTCTCCTTCTGCAATGGCGTTTTGGCGTCCGTATGAGTATTTTCATTATTTTCATATATGAAACCCAATTTTGAACAGAAGAAACGAAATGATTAATCATATAAATTTTATAAGCCTCTCATTTTCTTTTGTGTCTACTTTCAGGAGTTGAATTGCTTGGTTTCACTCATAATAATCACAGACGTGGGAGGACGTGAGTTTTGGTTTTCTAAAAGAAGTGACTTTTAGATTTTCTTAAACAACAGATAATTAGCAAAAATATGGTAAAAAGCCAAAAAGTTGAGGACAAAGATAATTGTGTTAAGGACATGTAGTCTTGAAGTCCTAAAGTTAAATTCAAAATTTAAGGACATGGTCCTGAACTTAGAGTTTCAAGTTCAAAAGTTAAGGAAATGTAGTCTTGAAGTCCTAAAGTTAAGTTCAATAGTTAAGGACACAAGTTCAAAAGTTAAGGACATGCAGTCCTTAACTTACAGTTACAAGTTCTAAAGTTAAGGACATGCAGTCCTTAACTTATAGTTACAAGTTCAAAAGTTAAGGACAAACAGTTCTTAACTTACAGTTACAAGTTCAAAAGTTAAGGACAATAGGTCATTAACTTTGATTTCCAAGTTCAAAAGTTAAGGACAGACAGTGACTTACAATTACACGTTCAAAAGTTAAGGACAAGCAGTCCTTAACTTACAGTTACAAGTTCAAAAGTTAAGGACGCTTGGTCTTGAAGTTTGAGTTCCAAGTTTAAAAGTTAAGGACATGTAGCCTTGAAGTCCTGAACTTAGAGTTCCAAGTTCAAAAGTTAAGGACATGTAGTCCTTAAGTCCTGAACATAGAGTTCTAAGTTCAAAAGTTAAGGACATGTAGTCCTTAAGTTAAGTACAAAAGTTAAGGACATGAGCAGAAGTGTATTTTCGTATGGGCAATTAAAGTTTATTAAAGCAATGGCTAAAAACTAAAGGCATTTTAAACGGTGACTTAAAAGTAAATACATGTGTTATTAGTGGCCAACCGTGCACTTCTCCCCCAAAAAAAGCCAAAATAGTAAGCGGAAAAAGGATACTCCTAAAAAATGATTCCAAGAAAGCAAATTACATAATCAATCGTGGATTAGGAGATTATTGTTTAAGAAATATAAATGTATAAAATAAAAATTTAAAAGTATGAAAAAATGTTTATTAGTTTTCTTTAAGTAGGGAAGAGATCCAAATTTGTCCATGTATTATCCAAAGTCTTAATTCGCTTTTCAATGCACTTTTCTTCTAATTGAAATAGGTGAATTCCATGTGTCCAAATTGATAAATAAATAAAAAATTAAAATTTACTATTTTTGACTAAATTTAAAATTACCTTCTGATTGGAGCTCATTCGGGTCAAGGATAAAAAAAAGACATTTTTAACGGATAGAAAGGTTTCTCAATTTCGATTAATAAAGGAATAAATTTGACCATTTTGTCCAAATAAAGTGAGTACCGTATGTCATTTTCATAAATGGAAAAGATTAAAGGAATTTAAAAAGTTACTTAGACAAGAGGGGTTTTGGAGGGAAGGATGTCGAGGGTCTATCGGAAACAGCTTCTCTATCCCAAGGTCAATGCCGGCCCGAGGGGGAGGCAGCTAAAGCAATTGCTTTAGCTCCCCCCCCCCCAATTGAAGGCCCCAATTTTTCATTATTAGTTAATTTTATATTAATAAAAAATTATTATTATTAAATAGATACTAGATTTATATTTTTTTGGATATAAAAGTTATTTAGAAAAAATAGAGGTTATTTAGATAACTACTTAAATTTTATAATAAACATACAATATGGCAAAATAACTATTTGATGATGACATTGATAATAAAAAATAAAAAATAAAATCTCTTGTAATATTTTTTAAAGTAAATTATTTCTTATAAAGAGTAGATCAAGTCTTTTTATTAAATTCAAATAATTTTGAATTATTTCAAACGTATAAAATTATTTTAAAATCTACATTAGTAGTATAAAATTACGATCATTAGATGCTGGAAACTTATAAAAACGTTTTCTTAACTACAGATCTCTTATAATAAATTTTGAAACCTTGGTGAGTAGAGTTACTAGATATCTTCGACAGTGGACGCTAGCAGGTAACCAAGTGAATGGCCAAAATACGTACAAGACGGTCCATAAAACTATTATTAATAACAAAAAAAGAAAAGAAATCATAAATATATATAATTTTATTAAACAAAATTTTCTTCTAAATGTTCGGCTTTAGGCCACCAATTTTGTTGAGCCGCCTTTGCCCAGGGTAGGGATAAGGTCTGCATACACACTATCCTTCCCAGACCCCACTAGTAGGATTATACTGGGTTGTACACCTTTTTTGTGAAGTGAAAAGCTTTATGCTCCATCCAACTTTCATTCATTAAAATGACGGTAGTATATATAATTGTTTGGTTTTGCTAGATATTGATGAATGTGCTGATCCAAACGCCAATTCGTGTGAAAAGACCTGCACAAACATCCCGGGAAGTTATATATGTTCTTGTCCTGATGGATATACCGATGATGGCAAAAAGGATGGCCGTGGTTGTGTTGCTCCCTACTCTGAATTTCCATGGATCAAGTTCTCTGTAGGTAAATATATTGGTTTGTATCTTTATTAATTAAGAAACAGAAGGAAAAAAACTCCAAATTTTTTGACATGATGATTATGAAAACTACTCATTTTTAATACAGAACTTTCTTTTATGTGTATTTGAAAGATTCGTCAGCATGCATGTACATTCAAAAGCAAAATGAATGTGTACAATCATGTACTTTAATTTTGATCTAGTTGAAGTAGACATTAAAAGTTCAATTCCACATAATTACACAGGCACTGGAGTTGGCTTTATGTCCCTAGTGGTTGTGATCACTTGGCTCTATTTCAGCATCAAGAAAAGAAAATTGATTAAAATCAGGGAGAAATTCTTCCAACAAAATGGTGGTTTATTATTGAAACATAGAATCTCCACTAACGAGGGTGGTGTGAATGCAACAAAAATTTTTACAGCTGAGGAGCTCAAGAAAGCTACAAACAATTATGCCAATGAAAGAATTCTTGGCCGTGGTGGCAATGGGATTGTATATAGAGGTGTGCTACATGATAATCGCATAGTTGCCATTAAAAGATCCAGATTTGTGGACGAGAGTCAAATTGATCAGTTTATCAATGAGGTGCTTATTCTTACTCAAGTCATGAACCATCGAAATGTGGTGAGACTCTTTGGGTGTTGTTTGGAAGTAGAAGTTCCTTTGTTGGTTTATGAGTATGTCTCAGAAGGAACTCTTTATGCGCATATTCACAACCAACGTGGAGGGGCGCCTTGGTTATCATGGCAAAATCGTCTGAGAATTGCGACAGAGATAGCCAGTGCACTTGCTTACCTTCATTCATTCGCGTCCATGCCTATATTTCATAGGGACGTCAAGTCTGCCAACATATTGTTAGATAATGATTACACAGCTAAAGTTGCAGATTTTGGAGCTTCAAGGTTAATACCTCTAGATCAAACACATGTGGCTACATTAGTTCAAGGGACGTTAGGGTACTTGGATCCTGAATATTTCAGTACAAGTCGATTGACTGAGAAAAGTGATGTTTATAGCTTCGGGGTAGTTCTAGCTGAACTTTTGACAGGGTTGAAACCTATTATTAGAGCTAGAAACGACGAGGACATGAATTTGGGCGATTATTTTTTGATGTCCATGAATAGGAATATCTTGTTTCAGATTCTTGATCGTCATGTTTTGAGGGAAGGGAGTCTTGAGCAACTTCAAAAGATGGCTGAGCTTGTGAAGAATTGTCTTCAATTGCTAGGAGAAGATAGGCCTACAATGAAAGAAGCGGCCGGTGAACTTGAAGGCTTGCAGAAGTTAATTAGGAACCCTTGGTCTAATCAACATGGAAATGAAGAGAATGAGGATGAATCTTCAGATCTTTATACCATTCCAATTAACTCTAGTTAATGCGGAATTCTATCTGGAAAACAGATTTCGGATAGTTCTCATATAACATGTATATCCTACTCTTCCCATCCCTATATTTCTTTCATATTGAATGTACTGCTACATTGTACGTTCCTTCCTTTCCTCTCAATTTAATCAGTCTTACTTCAAAAATTTCAGTCTGCAAATGATTAGTGACAAAAAGAAATAGTAAATGATGCAAATACCAGAAATACAATTGAAAAATTATTAATTACGTGTCCTTTTCGTTGACCTTTCAAGCTCAAACGGTTAGCTGTATCAATTGTGCTAAATAAATACAATAAGTACTACTAGTAATACTTATGTGAGGGTGGTCATTGTTTGCCAAGTTGGATATTAGGGGTTCACAATAATGCATGTTCATCTCCTTACATATCCTATCCTTATTTATATGAAACCAAATAATTTAAGTATAAATGTTAAAATTAAAGTGAAAATGCATAAAATTGACCATGATAAATTAGATGACATATGTCTTGGTTTAAACATCTGGTGTAGATACCTATTGTCCGCTTTTGGCCAAATCTGCATGGTTTTTCCCAAAAGGCCTCACACAATTAAGAGATTCTCCCATCTTATATATAGACTTTTAATTTTTTTGAACTACCAATGTGGGACTTTGATCACACGTTCAAGAGTGACAAAACTTGCAAGACTCAGTGTTTAGTCGTGCCTTTTAGATACTACGTAAATTGAAGTGGTCAACGATGTCATGCCTTTTAATTTAATTTGGTTTCCGAATCTTCTTATCCACATAGGACTCAACGTCGTGTACTCTTCTTAACCAATGGTGAACGCATGACTTATTATGAACAGATAGTTGACCCCAAGTCTTTGCATTTTATTAGTAGTATGTAAAATCATACTCCCTCCATTTCAATTTATGTTAATCTATTTCCTTTTTGATCTGCCAAAAAGAATGATCTCTTTCCTTATTTGGAAATAATTTACCTTTATGCAATGATTTATAGCCACACAAAATATATGAGCCTCATTTTATACCACAAGTTTAAAAGTCTGCTCTCTTTTCTTAAACTCCGTGCCCAGTCAAATGAGTTCACATAAATTGAAACGGAGGGAGTATATAGTTGTAGTGAGTTGTTACTCCAACCATAGTTTGCATCATTTTGGAAACTCAAAAACCATGTACCAAAAACAAATGATTTTGCTTCCTTACCAAATTGTTTGTTTGTACGCTTGTATACTGACATTAGCCATGGCCCAAACCATTACTAATAGCACCGGCACCAGAACCAGCACCAACACCACTAAAGCTGGCAATATTGCAAAACCAGGATGCCGTAAGCAGTGTGGGAACCTTACGGTTCCATATCCATTTGGTATTGGCATAGGATCAGGTTGCGCCATTAATGCAGGGTTCCAGATCAACTGCAGTACTTCTACTGATGGTTCACAGAAACCCCTCATAGGAAACCTTGAGGTGTACAACATATCCGATTCTGAATTACGCGTCTCCAATGCCATTTCGTGGCGATGTTACACCTCCACCGGAGCCGTGCGCGCTGAATTTCAGCTTGGTTGGACCCGTTTGGGAAACTCAACTTATCCTTATAGTTTCTCTTCCCGAAACAGGTTTACCATCGTTGGTTGCGACGACAATGCTCTAATCAGGGGGCGTAACTTTGAGTATAACTGCTCCACCAGCTGTAACAGCACGAGGGATGTGATAGAAGGAGAATGTACGGGCAATGGCTGTTATCAGGTACAAATACCCAAGGGATTGAAATACTTTGCGCCCACGATTTCTAGCACGCGAAACCATACGGATGTTTGGTATTTTAATCAATGTGGATATGCATTTCTAGGCGAGGCAGATAGCTTTTATTTCCGAGGTCTACAGGATCTAAGTGATATTACTTTTTTTAAGAGGACTAAGGCCAGTGTCCCCATTGTGTTGGACTGGGCAATTGGCAATCTTACGTGCATTCAAGCTCGGAAAAGCAAGGATTATGCTTGCAGGGAAAATAGCGAGTGTGTTGATTCAGACACTGGCCTTGGTGGCTACCGCTGTCGCTGTACAGAAGGTTATGAGGGCAATCCTTATCTCAGTCCAGGCTGTCAAGGTAGGACGATTAACGGATTAAAATGTTGCTCAATTTCGAATAATATAGAAATATGACGGTGTTGGTTTTGCCAGATATTGATGAATGTGCTGATCCAGACACGTGCGAAAAGAACTGCACAAACACTCCGGGCAGTTATATTTGTTCTTGTCCTGATGGATATATCGATGAAGGCAAAAAGGATGGGCGTGGTTGTGTTGCTCCCTACTCTGAATTCCCATGGATCAAGTTCTCTGTAGGTAAATATCTTGGAAAACTTTCATAACGACGAATACTAGCTAGTGAAAAATCAAGTATGTGGTTCTTGTTCTGTTTCCATAATATACGAATGTTGTCACTTCAACTCAAACTATTTTTGCTAACATCTTTAATTAACAAAATATTTGAATTCTAATTAGATTTTTCTCTTGTATGATAGTACATCATACACACACCACACATGTGGCAAAACAGTTTTTTTTCCCCTGTATTTTTTTTTAAAAATTAAGAAGTTAAAAAACACCAAATATTTGGTATGATGATTATGATCTAGGACCTAGAACTACTCTTTTTTTTTTTTTCAGAAATCCGGACTATGTAATTTGAATGATAGAGAACTTTCTTTTATGTGCTTGAAACAGCCACTTGGAACACCAATTCGTGTTCAGCATATACATTCAATAGCAAAATGAATGTACAATCACGTAATTTTGATCTTGTTGAAGCAGACAATAAAAGTTCAATTCCATTAATTATTACAGGTACCGGAGTTGGCTTGATCTCCCTGGTAGTTGTGATCACTTGGCTCTATTTCAGCATCAAGAAAAGAAAATTGATGAGAGTCAGGGAGAAATTCTTCCAACAAAATGGTGGTTTACTGTTGAAACATAGAATCTCCACTAACGAGGGTGGTTTAAAAGCAACAAAAATTTTCACAGCTGAGGAGCTCAAGAAAGCTACAAACAGTTATGCCAATGACAGAATTCTTGGTCGCGGTGGCAATGGGATTGTATATAGAGGCGTGCTACGTGATAATCGCGTAGTTGCCATTAAAAGATCTAGATTTGTGGACGAGAGTCAAATTGATCAGTTTATCAATGAGGTGCTTATTCTTACTCAAGTCAACCATAGAAATGTGGTGAGACTCTTTGGGTGTTGTTTGGAAGCAGAAGTTCCTTTATTAGTTTATGAGTTTGTGTCTGAAGGAACACTTTACGAGCACATTCACAATCAACGTGGATCGGATTGGTTATCTTGGCAAAACCGATTGAGAATTGCAGCAGAAATAGCCACTACACTCGCTTACCTTCATTCATTTGCGTCCATGCCTATAATTCATAGGGACGTCAAGTCTGCCAACATACTGTTGGATAATGTTTACACATCTAAAGTGGCAGATTTTGGAGCTTCAAGGTTAATACCTCTAGATCAAACACATGTGGCTACATTAGTTCTAGGGACATCAGGGTACTTGGATCCTGAATATTTTCGCACAAGTCAATTGACAGAGAAAAGTGATGTTTACAGCTTTGGAGTCGTACTAGCAGAACTTCTAACGGGATTAAAACCTGTTTCTAAGGATAGAAACGGTGAGGACAAGAATTTGGCCGATTTTTTTGTTATGTCCATGAATAAGAATAGCTTGTTTCAGATTCTTGATCGTCGTATTTTGAGGGAAGGGAGTCTTGAGCAAATTCAAAAGATGGCTGAGCTTGTGAAGAATTGCCTTCGCGTGCACGGAGAAGATAGGCCTACAATGAAAGAAGTGGCCATTGAAATTGAAGGTCTGAGGAAGTTAACTGGGATCCCTTGGTCTAACCAAAATGAACAAGAAGAGAATGACCAGAATGAATTATCAGATCTTTACACAATTCCAATTAACTCCTATGGAAATTCCCCCATTTCGGACAGTTCTCGTATAATGCATCCTACATATAGTCCAAGTTGATCCAAAATATAGGGCACTAATACTGTCCCATCCCTTTGTTTCTTCCATATTGAATGCTCTAATGTATTTTCCTTCCCTTTCCATATTGTGATTGTTCGGTCTTTATTTTTTTAAGGAATTTTTACATTCCTATGTCACATAGGAAACCTTATTACCCTTAATGTTTAAGGTTTGACTTAATTACACTTAGTATACCATATTACCATTTCTATACCATAGTGTATTTTAAGGGTACAATTAATGGTGCCAAACAAAATCAGTTAGAGCTTATGGTGTTTTGCAACTTCTCGTGTTGTGCCTCACGTTTCCAGTTCCTTGAGGATCCATGACGTGGCTGCTGACTAGGATAGCTGATTGGGCATCGGAAGTGTTCATAACAACTTCTCACAACTACTGGCAAGAATTAGTCAAAGGTTAGGCTAAGTAATAGCTACATCCTAAAACATTGGCAATGAATAGCTAAATCCTACCAAACAAACTAAAGATTAGGAGAATATGAGTATTCAACCCCTAATTTAATTCTCCAATTTTATGCTTGTCCGTTTCTAAAATTCAGATTCGCCCAAAAAAAATCGCACACATTTAATAAAATCTTCAATCCTATAAGTTCAGACTGTTGCGAAAGTCAAATGTATATAGTGTGAATGAGTCATAACTACTATACCAAAAATTATGACAGCCACCAAATAATAAATAAGACAATAAAGCAATAATAAAAGGAACACCAGAATTTACGAGGTTCGGCCAATTTTGCATACTTCCTCGGACACAACCAATAATTTTATTTCACTCCAAAAATACAAGTGAAATAATACTAAAGAGAGAAGATACAAATGCCTTAAGAAGATAAGAAGGCAAATGAGAGGTGTATTTCAATCCTAAACATTAGGCCTCCTTTATAGGTGAAGTTTCCATAAACATTTTGCCCACAACCGATGTGGGACTTTAGCAATCAACAAATCTCCACCTTGCAAAATTCCATATCTTCA